ATCAGTAATGACAAATTAAACTATGTTTTCACTCTGTGCTTAAATCAAATGTAGTGCAAACAATGGTGGCAAGTAGGATTCCGAATGACTGACTATACCCATACTAACTAAAGAAAAAACCTACTCTTAATTGTGATGCAACTTATAAATATTAATAAATAATTTAATATGACCTAAAGCTAATGGTTTTATGCAATAAAAGAATATCACAATAATGTATTAACCTATACCTCTCGTTTATTATTCATCATTGTTCTTGGTTCATCATATACTAATAATTCTTCATCAATACCTATAGTTCACCATATACATATCAACATACTCTACTATTAATCATAAGTATACACATACTTTCTATTCCTCCAATGTTAATACCATAGGCAGGATTAGCAGATACACCAGAAGCTATTAATAAATACATTAAAATCTTATTTTCAGTATATTAAGCAGGACCATCTATGGACTATTTAAAGTTCTTACTTTCACCAGAAACTCCATATGCAGGATTAGCTGATGATGCTAGTGTATCATTTATTCTTAGTCCTATACAAATTAAATTATATTATTCATATATAGTATTATGCATTCTTAATGAACATGTCATACATTAACTTTTATACCATCTGATTGCTGATCTTTATCAGCTTTCCTTTTAACAAAACTGAAATTATCATTTCCTTTTGATGTTTTATACCATATTCTCCTACACACTAATACACTCACTATTAATATTACTAGTATAGTAACTACCAGTAATATAAATACTGCTGTACTAATACTTCCTGCTATTATTAGTGTATTACTGTCAGTACTTTGTAATGTACTAGCTGGTGTACTCATCATTGAGCTTGTTGATGTACTAAAAGTAACTATTGCAATGTTACTAATTGATATAGTAGGAGATGTTTGCTTACCTTCTGTTGATTCTGTTGTTACAGCAGCTGTAAAGCTTCTTAATGAGGCAAAGCCTACATTAATGAAAAGAATGAATGATATGTTGCTATTAGTAGCAGTTCAGTATTCCAGGAACTGTGGGTGGTGTATTTGTAAATGCTTACTTATTGATATTGTTATACTGCTGGTACTTGAAGGTATTAGAGTACATTATCAATGATCGTACACCATCAATTTTCGGACACTTGTTTTAGGAAAACTATACATTGCCATCTCATGAAACTGCAAAGTATTAGAGTAAGGAAGCAATTTCTGGACACATTAGATTCCGGACAGCTCTATCTCGTCTTTTAGACTTGCTGTCGCTCTGAAATTTTCACACAATATAACTCTAAGCTAATTGAGATTGCGTAGTAAAGATGAGCTGCATTAAGCTAGTTTTGTTCTAGTTATCTTTAAAAGTATTAGACGTCCGACAATAGTCAAATATCGTCAGATAGAATCAAATTTAGTACATTTTATTAGTATTGGTAAATACAGCAATTGCAAGGTTGCAGTAACACTCTTACTTACTTAGTAGCCCTTCTTCTTTGTGAGGCACAAACCTTTTCCCTTCAACTTCACGTACATCGAGCTCGAACAGAATTTTAAGCGAAACTCTAATTGTCGTCCACTTATGCTCCACCCAATACGCTGCTGCCTCGTGTTGTTTGCTGTGTCAGGTCTCATGAGTCTCACCTCAGTTGTTTTAAT